CTGGTGAAATTGGGAATGGCCTGACCGCAAGTTCCTTTCCCCACTCTGCTCCCATGGATAAGGTCCCCTAACCAAACAACCCTCCTTATCATGGGGACCAGGCACAGTGCCCACTTATCCCTGAGTAGCAGGTTCCCTGCCAGACCATGGAATTATTCAAACAAGCTAATCACAGCCTTCCGCAGGAACCAGGGAGCTGTAGGGGAGGGAAAGATGAATTCCCTCCACCCTTCTACGTTCTTTGGCTGCACTACAAATTAAATTGACATAAGACAGACTAACAGAAGAAAAACCATATTTAATTATGTATGTACACACCAGAGTCCCACAAAATATGAGACTTGAAGAGTCAGATGACTGAAGCTTATATAGCATGCTCAGCTGCAGAAAGGAATAGGGGCTGGGGGCTTCTGGGGGGTGGTAGCAACTCAAGTTCTGGGAGGGTGAGGGGAGGAAAACATATGTTGAATAAAGGTTGTTTTGCTATGCAGGTAAAAAGACTCTCAGGTAACAAAGGTTGTCTGGGAGCAGCTCTCAGAAGAATAGATGATAGTCTCTCTGGGGGTGGGTCAACTTCTAGTTTCCTCTCCTGTGATTTGAGTTAATCTTCCCTGGTTAATACGGTTTATGAGATTCCCAGGGAGCAGATTCATGACAATCAAGTTGCTTTTGGAGGATCTCTCTTTAGGCAGATGGTGGGGTGGGGAGGGTGGCTCAGAGAAAGCCTCCCCTACATCCACTGTTCCCCATGTGCCCTCAGTTCAAAGTAATCAGTGTACCAAAGCATATTTTGAGGTGAATTTCCTGAACTTCTACAGAGCACCCCAGCCTCTTGATACAAACCCTGCCTCCCACAGCCTCTGGTTGATCACTCTGTTTCCAAGTGCAGCACCCTTATGGCATGCTGTGTCCTCTCTCCCTGGACTGGAGGATATATGACTAATAAACTCATCTCACTTGTCCAGTGTCAGGTGGGGTTCATTTGGCCATCCCCATACCCCTAGTGTTAATGGGGTAGGGGGAACCCCGAACACTGTAAAATAAAGAGGTTTATTCTGAGTCAGTATGAGTGACCATGGCTGAGAGATACACAAATCCAAGAACCCTTGAATAAGTGATCTGGAGGAGGTCAGATTACAGTTTGGTTTTGTACATTTTAGGGAGACACAAATTATAGGTAAAATCATAAATCAATACATGAAAGGTATATGTTGGTTTGGCCCAAAAAGGTGGGACATCTTGAAGCCGGTGCCTTACAGGTTATAGGTGGATTCAGAGATTCTTTGATTTGTAATTGGTTAAAGAAAGAAAGTTTTCTAAAGACTCTGAGTCAGTAGAAAGGAATGCTTGAGTTAAGATAAGGGGATCTGCTAATCAGAGAGCAAGCCACAATATACTCAAAGTGATCTGTTAAGCAAATTGATGGCCTGAAAGCATGACCTAACCTTGGTCTTGCTTGGCCTTAGGTCAGCTTGCAATTAGTCTAAACTCCAAAAGGGAAGTGGTTATAAGGAAGCATGTCTGATCTCCCTTTTCTTCATGACCAGGAACTCAGTTTTAAGGTTTTTCTGGGGTCCCCTTGGCCAGGAGGGGGTCCATTCAGTGGGTGGGGTTGGGGCTTAGGATTTTATTTTTAGTTTACATTAGAGACAAATCCTTAACATCACTTAACGAGGCCCTACAAGATCCAGCCTCCCAATCCCTCTATGAACTCATCTCCAGCTCATTTCACTCCAGTCATTGCCTTCTTACCCCTAAAACAACATGCATGCTTCTGCCTCACGGCCTTTGCAGTGCAATTCCTTCTGCATGGGATGTTCCTTCAGATATCCACATGTCTAATCTCCACAGCTTCAAATCTTTGTTTAGACATGACCTTCCTAGTGATGACTACAACTATCCTATTTAAAACTGCAAATCCCTCTTCCTTTGCACTTCCAATCTCCCTTTCCTGTCTTTTCTCTCCTAGTACTAATCATGTTCTAACATACAATATTGCTTACTAATGTACTGTGCTACTATCTGTCATCTCCTCATTCCCATTAGAATGTCACTTCTAGACAATAGGGATTTTCATCTGTTTTGGACCTTTGCACCCAGGAGGGAGCTGATACATACTAGGCCCTCAATAGCTATTTGTCAAACTAATGAACGGGTGAGAATATGTAAAGAACACTGTGAAAAGAAAATAAAATTTCAGGACCTTCCAAATTTCTCATGTGAAGGGGAAAAGTTAAGCCCTGGAAACTGAGTCAGGTAACAGGACTGTTTCTTTCTTCTGGTGTATGATTGTTCCTGATCTTTGTGCTGAGATGTTATACATTAACCAGACTCCCTAGTCTTCATTCAAAGCTAGACTAAATGACTTTGGAAATAGAGACCTTTGTGATTGTTACCTCTGTACAGTAGATTGTTAAGCACCCTTCTTAGAGTGTAATCAATAGTAGCCAACCATATTTTTTATCTGTATTTTAGCCTTTGTGTGGAAAATGCTGTAATTCTGTTTAGTCCCTCTGTTTTTGCCCATATAAATGATCTTCACTTTCCCCTATATTGGGAGCATTGATCACCATTCTTCCGTGTCTGTGTGTCCCCGATTGCTGCCTCACACTCTGTGCTCGCATAAACTCTTTAACTGGATCCTGAGCCTTTCGGTTATTTGAGGTTGACAATACAAACATTCTTAGCAAGGCTGCTAATTCAGAGAATTGAGGACTTAGGAAAGTTCAAACCAGAAAGGAATAATCTAATTCTGATCTTCCCCAGGTTTTTAATTAGAATATTCCTTTCCTTTCTACCCTGATCTTGTCTTATGTCAAATCCTCCCCTGAGATAAAACACATTTCAGTGACTTCAACACAGCTTAGTACTGATGAATTTTTGAGTTTGTTACAGAGACGAGCTAGGGTTATTTCCATAACAGAAAAGTGCTGGTAAACATTCCGGAACTCTCCTCCTCCTCCCCCCAGAATAATCCACACCAGAATGACATTCCCAAACCTCATTTTAAATAGATATAATTTTTTTCTGATTAATTAAATATATTGTATAGACTGAGTTCAAATAGTCTATATTCATTTTATACCTCCTATATAATAAAAAAAATTACATTTTCATCAGTTTGCTTTGTTGCCAGTATACCACTCTCCCTAACCTCTCTTGGATCTATATGAGACCAGATATTTCATTGCTGATACTATCTGGAAAACATTAAAAGAACAGAAAGAAAGGAGTGTAGGGACCAAGGGAAAACTTCCCCTTTGTCCTCTAAGGTTTGCTGAAAAATAAACTGACAAAAGGCAGATTATTGGAGAAAAAGCATACAAATTTGTTAACGTGCCCAGAAGGGGAAACCACAGAGTGATAACACCCCCCACTCCTCCAATGGGGGGTATTATCTCCACTCCAATGGTGTTTAGAAACTTATAAACCATCTTGAGGTTACAGAAAGAATGGGGGCAAAACAGGTGATGGGAGAGGGGGAAGAGGAGGTCTGGAGGCCTGGATGGCACAAGTGTTCTTGTAAGTTAGATGAAACCTCACAGGCAGCAGCCCTCACAGAGAATAGATGGTGAATTTTCTTTCAGACTTCTAAAGGTGTCAGACTCTCCATTAGTATTTCCTAGATCTGGCCTAGGGAAGGCCTCAGAGAAAGCCTGGCTGCATCAGTGCAGATTTTCTCTACAGATGCATATCTCCCCAAAAAAAGACAGTTTTGCTGGGCTACTTCTGTCTGCAGGCCCTCTAAGCAGCCATCTCAAAATATGTCAAAGAACTATATTTTGGGATGAAATATTTGGATTTCCAAAAACAATGGATTAACTATCAGATGTGATATGCAGCTAAATGTTCATTTTTTTTCCACCTTTTCCTCTAATTCCTCCTGTAGATGGAGAGAAGAGATGGGAAATGACGGGGAGTGGGGAGGAGAGAGAACCTATGCTGAAGTCAAATATGATTGCTTATGGACCAGCAGCAGTTATTTTCCCTCCCACTTTTTTCCTTCATGCTCCCATGTGTCAAAGGAATTAGTTCTCTTTTCATAGTAACAAGTATTTGGGAGACAGATCACTATAAGAATATAGTTGAGTTGCGGATTTTCTTACAGGTAACGCTTCCATTTTTCTAACTTATAAGAAAATGCAGATATTGTGTGAAATGTGGTTATATATTTTGAACCCTCATTAAATGTTCTTTATTAACATGCTAACAATTCAATGTAAATAATAAACACAAACTAAAACTTCTAATAGTTGTCTAATACTAACGAAGAAGGATCGTAGTGAGAACATATTCTGGAATTTTGTTTTTCTTTGCTTCTTTCACTCATTCAACAGATAGTAATCGAACATCTACAATGTAGCAGGAACCAGGTTAGCCGTTAGGGATAAGTTGTAAATCAAATGAGATCCTGTCCCACAGGCAGCTTCTTTTATTGAAGGCACCTGTATGAATTCTCGAGTCCAAATTTTACTTTTTCCAAACCACTTTCCTCGCTGCATTCAGAAGCAGACTTGTTCCATTACGTTTCTATCCCCTACAGAGACTTCTTGATGTTCAACTAGGTAGTCGCCCGCGAGAGCGCTCATTTAAACATAAGTCATCATTCAATCATACTTCAATAAATAAATACTATTGAGAAATGAGATGTATTAACCAAGTCCTGGAAGGTAGCAGGTGTCAGAGGTGGGGTTCTGGAGAGGGCGAGAGGAAGGAAAGTATGCCTAGATTTGAGGGAGATCAAATTTGGAAGGTAGGCTGTGGTCAGCACGCACATTTACCATTGAAATCTTTGACATATTCTTGTCCCATGAACTTGCTCTCAGAGCTTGAAGAAAGTTAAAAGGTAACAAGAGCTGGCATGAGTTTTAAGGACGCAGCTTGGCTCTGTAACTCACTTGTAATCAGGCAGAGCATCCTCCTGTAGAAAACATAGGAAGAAGCAGGCACTCGCGTTTCGGCTAATTTTGAGCCGCGCCGCCTGCCGTCCACCGTCACGTGCCGGCCCGCTGAGGCCGCGTTGATAGGTGGGGGCGACTCTGCCAGGCGCCGGGGCAGGAAGGGAGGCGGCCGCTGTGCCATTCTTAAAGGGCCCCCGAGTGAAGGCGACAGGCTGCTGACGGCCGGAAGGAAAATGGTGAGTTTTCGCTGTGAGGGCGGAGGCTGGAGGGCTGGGCCAGCCGTCCAGCCGGGCTTTCCTGTTTTCCTGAGCCGATCGCGGCTGGCAGAGCCCGGGGTGGGTCTGCGGCCGCTTCCTCCTGGCTGCTGGGCAGTGCCCACGGCCAGAGAGACTTGGCCTCCTGCCCAGCCGCCGCTGCCGGGTCTAAGGGCAGCATCCTCCCACCAGGCCTGAGGTCGACCCGCCCAGCGGGCCCTGGGACTGGAGTGCGGCCACAGGCTGGGTGAGGGGCATCTTCGTCAGGCCCTTATGGATGGAGGGCTCCAGCTTCTGAGCTGAAGGTCGGAGGGGCGGGGGTATGCCCTAGCGGAAGGACCCCCCCCAAACGCCGGTTTCCCTGCCAGGGCCGTCGCCAGGCCTGAGGGGCCGGTGGGCCCCGAGTACCTTCCCCTGAGGGCATTTTCTGGGAGGACCCGAATTCTGATTGAATTCTCTCGGCCTTGTTTTAGCTTCTTTCTGTCTGCTCCTTCCCTCTCTCTTGCACTAAGGATTTCTTCTTATCCTTGCTTTCTTGCCGCCGGAAACCTTTTGACCCAAAGCTTTGGCACTGATCCTTAGAGTAATTGTCAAAAGCTCTAGTTTTGCTGGATCTGGGGGCTATGGCTTCCGTTCTTGTATGAAGTGGACCCCAAGCATAAAAATAAAGTGTAGAATTAAATCACTTGCTATCATGGATCTTCTAGATACATTCCATCAGGTTTTTAAATATGCTCACATTGCATTAGAAACAACAGCAACAAAAACACTGATCTCTGACCTCCCACTCACTTCTCAGCCTGCTTCCATCGAATAGATCTTGTCATGGTCACTACATCCAATGGTCTCTTTTCAGTTTTTATCATTGCTGACCTTTCAGCTGCTTCCAGTGTGTTGATACAGTCTCCTTTTCGAAGCATTCTCTTCCCTCATTCTTCCCCCTTGGATTCTGGGACACAGAACTCTTGGTTTTCCTCCTACTTCTGTTGGTCCATCTGTTTCCCTTGCAGACTATTCTCCTTTCCCTGGACAATACATGTCGGAGTCCCAGACTCCATCCTGATCCTTTATTTTCCATTCTGTATTCTCTCTCCTACACACATGGCTTCAATTACCACCTACATTCAGATGACTTGTGAATTTGTAGCTGAGACCTTGCTTCTGAGATCCAGTCCAGATCTGTATATTCCACTATTTAATTAATATTCCCTGAGAAGCTTTTCCCCACTTGGGTGCTTCAAAGGCACCTCCATTTGTCCGAAATAGAACTTACGCTCTTTCCTCTTAAACTTGGTCTTCTCTCTGTGTTCCTTAACTCAGTGAAAGTTTGTGCCATTCAGTCTGTTACACCAGCCAGAAGCCTAGAAGTCATCTTGGTAACCCTTTTTTTTTCTTTATCCATCCCCCAACCCCTGTAGTATCTAATCTGTCACCAGCTCCTTTGTAGTGATTAAGAGTGGGTTAGGAGAGGTTACCCGGGTTGAATCCTGGCTCCACTAAACGTGTAACTTTGTGAAACATAGTTAACCTCCCTAAGCTTAGTTTCTTGCAAAATGATCATAATAATAGTACCCATCTCATGGGATTGTTTAAGCATGAAGGGAATTCCATGTAAAGGACATAACTGTTTTTCTCATAGTGTTTGGTACATGTTGACAGTTATTAGCCTGTTCACCTACTTCTCTTTATCCTCATCATCAAGCTCTCTAAGCTATTTTTTCCATCTGTCATCTGGACTAGACTTGCCAGTTAACTAGTCTCGTATTCATCCTGCCTCTCCGCCTGTTTCCTGCACACCGTAACAGATGTGATCTTTTCAAAATGCAAATATGTCTTTCCCTTCTTCACCCTGCCTAAAACACCTTAGTGGTTTCCCTTTGTTCATAGGATAGAAACCAAAATACAGTCTTTCCTTGGTATCCTGGGAAGCGGTGGGGGTTGGTTCCAGGACCCCCCATGGATAGCAAAAACACAGTTGCTCAAGTCCCTTATATAAAATGGCATAGTATTTGCATATGACCTAAGCACATTCTCCTGTGTACTTTAAATCATCTCTATATTACTTATAATACCTAATACAATGTAAATACTGTGTGAATAGTTATACTGTATTGGTTTTAAAATTTGTATTGCTTTTTATTGTATTTTTTCCCCCAAATATTTTCTATCCACTGTTGGTTGAATCCACTGATGCAGAACTAACTGATAAGGAGGGCCGACTGTACTTACTATGACCCACTAGGCCCTATGTGGTCCAGCCCGTACCAGCGTTTCTGCCCATTGTCTGCACTTGAGTCATACTGGCCTTTCATTATCCTGGATATACCTTGCTCACTTTAATCAAAAGGTCTTTGCACAGGCAATTTTAGTTATTCAGATGCCTTTTTCAGGGAAGCCTTCTGAAACTGTGTTCTTCACCAGGCATGAGTGAAGGATTCACCAGTGTATCTTTCCTTTCTAGCCCTTTTCAAAGGTACAAGTTTACATATTTTAGCCTGATCCTTTTGATGTAGATCTGTTCTCTGCTAAACTGTGATAGAAGTTCCCCAAGGGCAGGGACCATATCTTTTATTTCCTTTTTATATGATTGTATTCCTAGCATTTAGCATGATGCTGGCACTCATTAAATGTTCATTGTATGGATAAAGCATTAAACCAGTGCTTGAGCTCAACTCTTCACTTTATTTTGTGTAACATTTACCATATAGATTTGCTTTTATGGTATCATACTTATGCTTGAATGCTTCTGTTGACTCTAAGCAATTAGAGTTGGCTAAACCTGAATCCTTTCTCTTGTAGAAAGGAATTTTTGGCCTTATCATGGTATTGGGAGGGGTAAAAATGCAAAAACAAGCTGTAAAAATTAAATCACAGCATATTTTTCATTTGATTTCTGCTCCTTACAATGTGAAGCTTATGCAAGCAGCTTCGGGTATCAGAACTGGAAGATAAGACTTTTATGATAAATTGGTCTTTGCCTAAGCAAAAATCTAAAATATGTATTAGTTTTGCTAATGGGTTCTACCTTTGGTTAAAGAGAGAATGGAAATTCTAGTCTTCTGACTTCAGTATCTTTCTCAAAAGGTAGGACAAAAAATGAACTAGGATTGAATCTTAGCTTCAGAAAGCTCCATGTGACTTAGCAAGTCTCTAAAGAAAACTAACTAAAAGGATGAAAGTACATAACCCCTATAGGGGTGTTATTTATTGGATAGTTCCTATTGGTGTGATGTGCTTTCTGATTGTATAATAGTATATCCTATGGTATGTCACACCTTGCATATTACCAGTGTTCTGAATTTAAAGGACATTTTAAAGTTGATAACCATGTTCTGCTTTAACATACGCTTTCATTTACCCAACACAGGATCAAAACAGCAGGCTTTTATTAAATTTTCATTTTAACTATAACTTGGAAGCTCTAATGCTCTGGGGCTGTAATGAGACATATGCATTTAGCATTGGTCTCATAAGTGTTCTAATTTTCTTGAAGGAGGAGGATGGAACCTATCTATGTATGAAAAGAGACCAAAGTGAATAGACCTTGTTTGGAATTGGGCTCAGTCAAACCAACTGTAAAAAAAAATTAAAACAATGAGGGAAATTTGAACACTACTTGGATATTTGAGACTGGAATTATTGTCAGTTTTTAAGGTGGAATAATGTTCTTGTCTTTATATTTTTAGTGGCACATACTGTCTTTTTAATGAAACATAGTAAAATATTTACAGATAAAGTGACTTCTGGTCTTTGCTATGAAACACTCCATGGAGGCAGTGTTGAGGATGTTGGATGAAATAAGATTGGCTATGTGTTGATAATGGTTGAAGCCAAGTGATAGGTACATAGGGTTTTGCAATGCTAGTCTCTACTTTTATATGTGTTTTAAGTTTTACGTATTAAAAAAAAGAAAAAAGATTTTCGTCTGCTTGCTTGCAGTAATACCTTGCACTGCTAAAAGAAGAATGCTTGTGATCATTTCCTTGCTAGATTTTTGGGGGATGTTCTCTAATATTTCTTGATAATTTCTTAAAGATTATTTTAGTTTTTATATTTTTTATCTAGTTTTGCTTTTGTACATTCTTTTTTTCTTTTTTGAGACATAATCGTGTATATTTATGGGGTACATGTGATATTTTGATGCATGCATACAGTATGTAATGATCAAACCAGGGTAATTAGAATATGTCTCAAGCATTTGTTATTTAATATTTCTTTGTGTTGAGAACACAAATCGTCTAGCTGTTTTGAAATTTACAATAAATGATTATTAGCTATAGTCCCTATACTATGCTATTGAACAGTAGAACTCATTCCTTCTAACTGTATGTTTATACCGTTTAACCAACCTCTCTTCATTTCCTCCCACCCCCTACTCTTCCTCATCTCTGATAACCATTATTCTATTCTCTAGCTTCATAAGATCAACATTTTAGCTCCCATATATGAATGGGACCATGCACTATTTGTCTTTTTGTACCTAGCTTATTTTACTTAACATAATGACCTCCATTTTTATCCATATTTGCTACAAATGACAGGATTTCATTCTTTTTTATGGCTGAATAGTGTTTCATTGTGTATATGTATTACATTTTCTTTATCCATTCATCCATTAGTAGACACTTAGGTTAATTCCAAATCTTGACTATTGTGAACAGTGCTTCAGTAAACATGGGCGTACAGGTACCTCTTCCATATTCCAATTTCCTTTCTGTTGGATATATATAGCCACCAGTGGGGTTGCTGGATCACATGATAAATCTATTTTTAGTTTTTTGAGGTATCCCCATTCTATTTGCCATAGGAGCTATCTGTCCTAAATTACATTCCCATCAGCAGTGTACTAGTGTTCCCCTTTCTCTACATCCTGGCCAGCATCTGTTATTTTTGTTATTTTTTCTTTTTGATAGTATCTGTTTTCACTGGGGTGAGATGATATCACAATGTGGTTTTAATTTGTATTTCTGATAATTAGTGATGTTGAGCATTTTCTTATATACTTCTTGGCCATTTGTATGTCATCTTTTGAGAAATGCCTATTCAGATCATTTGCCCATTTTTAAATTGGTTTGCTGTTAAGTTGTTTGAATTTCTTTTATGTTCTAGTTATTAATTGCTTGTTGGGTGGGTAGTTTGCAGATATTTTCTCACATTCTGTAGATTGTCTCTTCACTCTGTTGATTGTTTCCTTTGCTGTGTGGAAGAGGCTTTTCAGCTTGATGTGATCCCATTTGTCTATTTTTGTTTTGTTGCCTGTGCTTTTGAGGTCTTACCCAAAAAATTTTTGCCAAAACCCAGATCAATATCCTGAAGTGTTTACCCAATGTTTCCTTCTAGTAGTTTCAGTCTTTAATTCATTTTGCGTTAATTTTTGTATATGGTGAGAGTTTAGGGGTCTAAAGTCATTCTTCTGCATATGGATATCCAGTTTTCTCAGCACTGTTTATTGAAGAGTGTGTCTTTTCCCCAATGTATGTTCTTGGTACCTTTGTTGAAAATGAGTTGGCTGTAAATATGTGGATTTATTTCTGGGTTCTCTATTCTCTATTCTTTTAGCTGTGGGTTTGTCATATATGGTCTTTATTGTTTTGAGATATGTTACTTCTATACCCAGTTTCTTGAGGGTTTTTATCATGAAGGGATGTTGAATTTTATTGAATGTTTTTTCAGCATCTATTGAAATGATCATATGGTTTTTGTTCTTAATTCTGTTCATGTGATGTATCATGTTTATTGATTTGCACATATTAAGCCATCCTTGCATCATTGGCATGAATCTCAGTTGATCATGCTGAATAATCTTTTTAGTATGTTCTTAAATCCAGTTTGCTAGTATTTTGTTGAGAATTTTTACATCTGTGTTCATCAGTGATAGTGGCTTGTGGTTTTCTTTTTTTGTTGCATCCTTGTCTGGTTTTGGTATCATGGTAATGCTGGCCTTGTAGAATGAGTTTGGAAGTATTTCTTCCTCTTTGATTTTTTGGAATAGTTTGAGTAGAATTGGTATTAGTTCTTCTTTAAATGTTTGGTAGAATTCAGCAGTGAAGCTGTCAGGCTTTTCTTTGATGGGAGACTGATTACTGTTTCAGACTGATTACTCTTTCGGTCTCATTAGTCATTATTGGTCTGTTCAGGTTTTCTCTTTCTTCATGGTTCAATCTTGGTAGGTGTATGTGTCTAAAAAATGTATCCGTTGCTTCTAGATTTTTCACTTTATTGGCATATAGTTGTTCATAATGGTTTCTAAAGATCCTTTGTATTTCTGTGGTATCAGTTGTGATGTCTCCTTTTTTATCTCTGATTTTATTACTTTAGTACATTCTTAATAGCTTCTTTTATATCTCCCTAGTCATGTAATTAAGATATAAAATGTTATTGGTCTTTGTTCTTATGGTTTATTTTTTATACTTTTGTTATTTGTATTGGTTTTTTTTGTAATTGTGAGACCCTAAAATGAACCAAGCTCTTATTAATTCTAGGTATAATAAGATGATTTTGCTGTTCTTCCTGCACTGTAGAAAAATATGACACTTCCCTTCCTTTCTTACAGCACAGGGTAATCTTTGACTTTTCCCATATTCTTCCCCACCTCTCCAATTCTGAGGAAATTGCACATTATTATGTCCAGTTTTTGAGACATTCATTAGCCAAAGAGAAAGCTAAAATTTACCTTACATATATAAAATGAATAAATGTGTATGATTAAACAGTGTAGATCCAAAGGTTGGTAGATTTTAAAGCTCTTTTAAGTGTTCATGTGTTTTGCTTTAATGCTTTCATTTAATTGACATTTGTGAATGTCAGTATACCTTTTTAAAGGAATTAAGTTTTATAACTTTAACATGTAAAGGTATCGAAGTCATGGCACTTGATATGTGATTTTTTTCTTTTATAGAGTGAGTCTTTGGTGGTTTGTGATGTTGCCGAAGATTTAGTGGAAAAGCTGAGAAAATTTCGTTTTCGCAAAGAAACGAACAATGCTGCCATTATAAGTAAGCTACAAGTGATTGCCTGGAAGTTACGTGGTCTTTGTTTTTTTCTTAGAGCTACATTGAATAAACTGAACCGTTAGAAAGTTATGTTGCTGCCTCTGTTTCACACTCCCTGCCCACTATCACTTCGAAAAAATCCGTGACCGCTAATTCTAGTGTCACAAAACAGAGGTGGAGTATCCTGCCTTCCCCATAATTCTCTCAGCTCCCTGCACAGTTCTGGAGAAGATATTCTTGGTCACTTGAGGAATGAGGATTCCCATTTGTGATCACCTATCCCATTCCATACTTCTTGGGGGACTAAAAGTAGCCTAGCCATACATCCTCAAACAGAGACCTTTGCCTACACCTTAAAATGGTAAAGTTCAACATTGTGTACAAAGTGACTTTGGGCCTTATTCCAATTCTAGACCTGAACTCTAGTTTCATGTAGAGTACTTTTAAGTGTCACTGTCTTCTGAAAATGGAAAGAATGATTTGCATGTCACCTCTTTCACTGTGAGCTGTATCTGATGTTAGGCAGATTTTCCTTGTATTAGTAGGGAATATTTAATATGTGGTTAGTGATTTAGAAAGGTAAAGGATCGGAGGGTGAAGATATAAAACTTTATAGACTATACTTAACAGAGATGCATCTGGCAGATGTGATTTAATCAGAGGTGGTGGCAACTTGTCATGAATTCTGGTTTTATTACAAATAAATACTACAATGTCAGCATACAGTTCTTAAAAGTGAAAATGTGTGCCAGTGCTATTCTACTACAAAAGGTGAAGCTATTTGAGATTATATTTTATCTCACAGGATTTACCATGAAATTAGTACAAAACCAAATATGGTCAACTTTGCAGACTAACGGGAAAGAATAGAGACATAGATTATTTAAACTTATTTTGATTTGGCTTTGGATTTTATTAGATATATTCGAAAGTAGGTATCACTGCTGTTTGGTAATTCACTTTCTCAGAATGATACTGCACCATGAAATCTTCACTCTGGAGAAGATGGGAATTTCGAGGTTTCTCCATTCTGAACCCTGGTCCACTTTTCCTTTGCAGTTCTGTGTTGCACATAGACCAATCTCAATCACAGTAACCCTTTCGGACTATTTTCTTACTATCTAGGAAGTTACGCTGGAGTTACAAAGTTCTTCACATACACAGGAAATGTAAGGAGTTGACACAAAGTTCTAAATAAGCAAACTAGGTCCTGGGAATTGTGGGTAAAAGCTTTTAAAAGCCAACTGCTTAAAAAGCAAAGCTATCTAATAGACCATAAACTAAAAGTGCGAATGAATTGTATACATGTGTTTCTTGATGTTTTAATTTTGGATGCACCCAAAAAGGCTGAGACTGTGTGAGTTGGGTAGATCAAAGTCACATTAGAATCACAATTTACTCATATTTTTATTTTAGTGAAGATTGACAAGGATAAACGCCTGGTGGTGCTGGATGAAGAGCTTGAGGTTTGTTCTCTGAGCAAAATACCATCTTATAGTTAAGCAATTTTTATTACTCAAAAGATACTGTATTAGTTACATGTACTTCTAAAACAAATTCTGACCCCTCCTTTAAATATATACCCATTATGCATGAAAAGCATGTGCTAATTATTGTGTAGTATATTGTGTTGCTAATTAAACTACCTTCTTTAATGAAATCCAGTGTAACAACTGGTAGAAGTTAGGGCTATATGCCCAGTAAGAAGTGAGTCAACTTTATAACTTGATTTGAAATTGCTTGGCTAGTAATTAAAACCTCTAAAACCCTACAACTTAAGTATTTAGTTTGTCAAATTAAGTAACTAATTTAGAGTAAAAAGAAATTAGCTTTTTTTTTTTCTGAAATTAGACATTGTGTCCTCTCTAAGGTGTTGGCTTATGTCGTTCAGTATTTTCTGACAATTGGAACATAAGTGTAGAATCTGTGCCCCTCAGCCCCATGTTTAGTTAATAAATGGAGCTAAACTGTATGGGCTGATGTGGGCTTGAATTGGATTGAGAGTTTAGCAACCTTCATTTATGCATACTTTAGTAAAATAAAATTTTGTTTTGTGGCACGTGGTGATGGATTTATAACTAAAAATAGAATGGGTGCTTGGTGTAGCTCCTAAGGACTTATGGGTAAGAAAATGTTTAACAGTTGCTTTTCTGTCTGTTGCCAGGGTATTTCACCAGATGAACTTAAAGATGAGCTACCTGAACGACAACCTCGATATCCTTTTCTTAGTGCTTTTGAAAACATTTGTTTTCTTTAGTGGTTAGAATTTTATTTGTGAGCTCATTTGTTAAACTTTTTTTTTTTTTTTTTTTTGAGACAGAGTCTCACTGTGTTGCCCGGGCTAGAGTGCCGTGGCGTCATCCTAGCTCACAGCAACCTCAAACTCCTGGGCTCAAGCGATCCGCCTGCCTCAGCCTCCTGAGTAACTGGGACTACAGGCATGCGCCACCATGCCTGGCTAATTTTTTCTATATATTTTTAGTTGTCCAATTAATTTCTTTCCAATGTTAGTAGAGACGGGGTCTCGCTCTTGCTCAGGCTGGTCTCGAACTCCTGAGCTCAAACAATCTGCCCGCCTTGGCCTCCCAGAGAGCTAGGATTACAGGCGTGAGCCACCATGCCCGGCCTTAAACTTTTATAAGACACATAGTTTATAAGATATCTTTCTATGTCATGATCACAGACAAAATATGTATGCATATATTGGATTAAGAAAAATGAACAGTTGATGTATTAGTGGGATGAATCTTTATTTTAAACTATTCTCTTTATTATAATGTGTATACAATACAAATTGAGAAGAAAAAAATCCATATTAAATCTATACTTTAAAAAATTTCTTTTTGGGAGATAATATGATTTTATAACTCTTTGGGGCTTGTTTATAATTTCATGGTAAGATAATGAATAATAAGGTGTGGCCTAACTCAACAGGGTAGAAATTTGGAGCTCAGTAGCTCTCCAGAGTTGGTAAGTACCTGTCTCAGAACAGTAACTTTAGTTTCTTTAACTTGAGAAAAACCTTCATTGTGTATAGTTATAAATATCAACATGATGATGGAAGAGTTTCATATCCTCTGTGCTTTATTTTCTCCAGTCCTGTTGGTAAGTGAATTTCTTTAAATAATGCATATTTGGCTCTGATCCAGTTAAACCATTTTTATACTAGGCAAATTTTATGCTATTTTTCAAGATGAAAGGTGTCGAATAACCTAAAGTGAGGTGGGTGTGATGCGCACGTGTGTGCATGCATCCTTGGAAAGAAGTTACTATTAATATAAAGCATCACCTCTTAGAATTTGTTTATTTTCCTAGGATAAATTCCTAAACATGTAATTGTTGAATCAAATCTTATGTACATTTTAGGGATGTTGAAATGAAATGACATTTTTAGATATCAGAAATATATTTCCTTATATATTTTAATCTTGTTTATAAGTATTTGACCTTTGTATGTAATCATGATATATATTTGTGTTCATCTTTTAAATGGTAATTACCAATGATATGCCTGTAGTCTTGAGAATGGTCCCACAGCAGCTTACACTTGGTATTAAAATGGGTTTTTGGTACTTAAGGAATCTATTATCACCAAAACTCTTACTACCACCACTGTTCAAGCCCACAATAAAGACTCTACTCGATGGATTCCTGTCTAAATGTTGTTATTTGTATCATTTACTTAGCACTTAAAAAATACTGTAGTATATTTTAAATTTTATATGTAAGCAGAATGTAACTTTTTTTCAGAACAGATCTTCCTGCCCCACTGGCCCACCACCATACCAAAACCTTACGTATTTTAGGCATCCATAAAATTAATGTTGATAGTGTCAAAATTAAGATAGTGCTGAAAAGTTTTTAAGTGTTTGCAAGGCTGTAAAAGTCAGTATCTATAGAGGCCTAGAATTGTTTATTTTTGCCGACCCGTAGACTTGTTTATTTATAATTAAGATATGTCTCTGCACAGACAGTATGTAAGATAAGATGCAAAATACAGCCCATATACATACTATAACCTCAGTAGCAAAGGAAATCCTGAATGTGTCATTTTAAAAAAGAAAAATAATGAAAAAACCAATCACTTTTTGAAAATCTACATTTCATTTCTACATTAATCTCTCTTTTCCAGGATGTAAGCCTGAACAACAGATGATGTATGCTGGGAGTAAGAATAAGCTAGTCCAAACAGCTGAACTTACCAAGGTGGTATTTATATTTGACTTGCTTGTTGAGACAGTATTTTCCCTTAGATTATAGAGCAATAGCTAAAATAGTCTGAAGGGGTAAGTATTTTTTTATGCTGGTGAAGGTAATTAGACCACAGCAATAAATTATCCAAAGCTTTTTGTTAGTTGGAAATGGAGTGATAGAAGTCTTTGAATCAAAGTGTGTTTTTTTGAATAAGTTGATTAGAAGAAATCACATTCTAAATGTAGGCAACTTTAGAAGAGCTGCTGTAATGATTAAACCTATTGAAAGTTCTTTATCTTTCATAATGTAATCTCTACTATAATAAATAAAGGTCAGCATTGAAGCTTCTTTGAGCCTTTTACCATAGTCTAAAATGAACCAAGTTTTGTGCTGGAATTCTGTATTATTCAGTTGATTGTATTGTTTCCCAGTATAAAATTAAATTGTTAAGAATATTAATAAAGCTAGACATTCTGTTTTATATGAGACACTTTCTTTAAGATTTAACATGTCCCTGTTGTTTTGTGATATTTTTGAAGGTTAATGGTAAGAGAGGTACTTGCTCTCAAACTTTAACTTCTACATATTAGTTTAAGTTGAAAAAGTGTGTACGTTTAAGATTTTGAAGTAGAATACAATATTACTAAAACTGTATTAAACAGTATTTCCTTTCAGGTTTTATTTTAAGAACAGCATCAGTATTTTCCCCTTGGGTGCTTAATCATCAACCCAGGAATTTAAGTGCCCTCTGCTTTTTCCCTTTATCCCATATGATTGTAATTGTTACCACCACTTTACAGACATTACTATTTCCTAATTTGTACCATAGGAACACTCTGGAGTTGCTCTGAGGGGTTGAGTGGTTAAAAAGGAGCTCTGTTAACAGCTTTACATTTGTTCCAATCCTTGGCATGCCCTAAAGTGCTGGAGTTGAGATATGACAATTTACAAGTTACTTTTACAAATAATCCTGTTCAGTTTTTACAACAGCCTTGTGAGGCTGATGGTGGTATTCCCATTCTGTAGATAGGAAAACAGGTTCAGAGGATGAGTCACTTGCCTAGGGTTGCACAATAGTATAATGATAGAGCTATTATTTAAACTCACATCTGGCCCCAAATCCCAATCCTGTCCTTTCTGCTATAATACGTTGTCTCTCTATAGCTGTTATACTTTCTGGGCCCGTGTTAATTCAGATTCTTGCTGGAGATTTGTAACTGTGAACCTCTATTCCATCCTTATCAAAACAATCTACATCTGGTATTTCAATTTGTCACACGAACTGTGGAGGACCAGTATATGTTCCTCCAGTTCTTAACTAGACTGATTTTAGATAATGTATATTTGAGGTATCTCTTTTAGTAGGTAAGATTTATAGAATTGCTCTTTTAGAATATTTGTAGATTTGTGCTTTTCAGAGAGTTTTGATTTTATGCCATGTGATTGCTATACTTTGGTGACTGTTTAGAATTTAAAAGAAGTAAAGTATTGCGCAAAAGGTATATCTAATTTACACAGGTTAACTCATGACCAATATGAAAAGAAGCAGACTTTGGTATTTAATAGTCAAATATATAATGTGTTATCTTTTCTTAAAGAGTGTCAGAGTATGACCTAGGTTTTTTTTCTTAAGGTATTTGAAATAAGAAATACTGAAGACCTAACTGAAGAATGGTTACGTGAGAAACTTGGATTTTTCCACTAATGTGAACTTCTGTGTTTCTAAAGTATTTATGTATTAACCTGACCATACTGGAACCAGACATAAATACTTATTTATGCCTAAAAATGCACTGTTACTTACAAGTTTGTTTCCTGCAGTAAAGAAAAATCGTTCATTTGTGCAAAGTTCGAACAAAAAGGAAATCATCTTCATAGTAATGAAACTTTGTAAAATGTTTCCTTATATTTGTAATTGTTAGGTGGACTACTTTTCTCCAGGGACTTTTTGCACTCTTGTGACTAATTTCTATAACTTATGGTTCAGAATTTGTTACTCTTTACAGACACCATTGGAGAGTGGATATTAGATTGTGAGAGACAACAGCTGCCTCCTTTTGACAAATACTGGATATTAGCAGTTTATGTATGAAAATAGCATATTATCACTTGTCAAATCATTGAAATTAATTTGGGGTCAAAGACTTGAGTGACCCAGTATTGAGCCATGAATAATTTACTGTAGTGTAATTTGCACTACAAGTACATTGTTCATCAGTTCTGTATCTTTGCTTTTTAATCAAGTCTAGAAACTGTTCATCAATCACTCATTCTTAAGATCTGGGAGTTAGATTTTATGGCAGAATTATGACTGTTAGGTTTTCTTCTTGTGGAAATTAGCATCTTAGTCTTAGAAATTGGTGGGTGGTAGTAATCAAGGGCTTCATTCCTGGTTATGTCATTTCTAGATAGTTTTGAATCTAGGTTAATAACACTTTATTTATAAAGCACGTCCCACTGTCCTGTGAACACTAATTATTTTAAATGTGTTAATACTGTGCCTTTGATTTGTTAGCTTTAAAGTTAGTTTAAGACTTTTACACTGCCAGTATTCCAGATTTGGTGAAATTAATACTTTTTTAAAGAGTCCAAGTAAAACGATTTTCTAATGTGTATATCTGAAATTTGTAATAAAATCAACTTCATAGTTTAAAATTCCAACTATCTGCTTGCATTGGTGAATATATGGCAGTTGAGAGTTATAATTTGGGGTATACTTGTGATTAGTTTTATGCCATAGGAAAAAAATTATTTGTCTTAAAACATTGGCCATAGCTGATAACATTAACACATTGGTAGAAATCACATCTTACATCCTAAATATCAGAAGACATTCTAAACTGGACACCTGAGTAGTTAACTACAACAGTCTTGTTAGATGATGGCATCCTTGGCATAAAGCAAGGATTCTAATATTTGACATACTTTTAAAAACATATATAAATAACTACTTAACATTAATTTGATAATAGGTCGAGAGACTCTGAAGACTAACCAAATTGGGTGAGTGAATTCTTATATTAAGAATATCTTAGTCATTTCAAAACTAGCAAAGGCATTTTTTTATGTTGGCATATTTTCCATTCATATGTTCTTTGCATTTTTATTTTTGAGGTTTCTGTGCCAACTTTAATATAAAGAGGTAAAGATAGTTGGAATTTTCACAATATTGAATAGAGCATCTTCTGTTCCCAACACTATTTGGCTTCACTAATTTAGAAGTCAGGAAGCAATAGGAAGTTAGTTGGAGTTGAGGAAGTGCTAGAGTGGGTATTTGTTTCGGTTATTAAATGGCAAGGATTCTTTATTCCAATTTCCAGAGAGAGAGAAAACTCAACCAGGAAGTTTAAGAATTCTTTAAACAGGTATTTTGATAATGGAAAATAACTTGCTTATTAATTCTGTAGAAATGCAAATGTAATCCAAGTGAGTGGAGTGTTTTTAATGTTTTTGAATGAAGGAAATGAGATTTTGTGTCACCTGGTTCGCAGCAATAAGAGAAACTAAAAAGTGCTGCATGAATGTATTTTTTAATGAGGTTCATTATTTTGTCTTGCATGTCTAGTTTTTTTTTTTAATTTGGAAGTCCTCCATAATGTCAGATAATATTGACCTGCCATACACAGCACTCTTAGTTTCCCTGTTATCTTAACAGGAGCAAAGAGCTGTGATAAACCATGCTTTTGGGCTTGCCTTGACTCCTTATGAATAATGTATATTTTTCAAGACAACAGATTGAGGTTAGACGATCAGTAGGACATTTTTGTTCCGTCTGTCCTATAGGAGATTTACAAATCCCATGCTTTAAAGTGTTCTCAAACATTTATGTAGATTTCTCTTTCATCTAACTAAATTTTGCATTGTTCTTTTCAAGTATATTTCCTATTTAGTCTCTTTTCTCTGCCTTCCCTCAAATAGTAACTCCAGATTTCATAATACCAGTTTTTACATTCCATATCTTTCTGGTACAACCATTCCCATTCAGCCTTAAATCTTAATCTTTCCTTTTTGGCAGCATCTTTTTTCCTGGGACCTTCCTTCATGGTCTTCTAAGCCAGCATTAAGTTTTGAAATTGTTGGCCTGTGTAAGTTCTGCATAGCATCTTATGTCAAAATAGACCAACTAGTAATCACAGTATTATTTAGTATGGGTTTTGTGGCAACATAAATGACATATGAAGAAAACTGTTCTCAGGTTACTATGCTGAAATTCCAAAATGTCTGAGTTTTGAATAGTAATCACTTTGTTCTGGTATTGAAGCAATTATGTTAGGAAAAAAGTTGATTGACTGTTTTTGTTTGACTTCTAAAATAAATGTTCAAATCGTCTATTTCTAAAAAGTTTACTAAATGCCTAGTGCAGTTAAACATACTCTTGTTTAAGAGGGTGTTGCTAAATTTTTTATTGTCATTATTAAATAATCTGTGTGGCAAAATATCTGTCAGCACTTTTTCCCTCCCTTTTTATCTCCTATTTTCAGGAGTCAAATGTAGCCATAAATTGTATCCTTGTCTGACACTTTAACTCCGTTTCCAGTTAGGGGAGTTTATTGCCAAATTAAATTTGGCTGTTTTCCCCCCACCCATATAGATATTAAGGAAGGTATACTTAAAAAGTGTTTGGACTACTTTTAAAACCCCAGCGATGTCACTAATCCGTACATGGACTAGTGATGAATAGATATTTTCATAAGAGTTTAAATGCTGATATTTGGTGGAAGTAGAGAGTAACTTGTATTCTATCAATTCAAGTATTCTTAGTATGGTTGCTTTTCCTAATTGTTCATTAGACTGATAATACTGGAATCTATAGAGTTTGAGCCTTTACAACTTATGTGAGGATGTGTTTGAAACATTTCTGGACAAATCTTTTGTATTTCTGGAAGAATGTAGTAAGTTATCTAGGCCACTTAAAACCAATGGTCGCAAATCGAATATTGAGAAATTTGTTTTCCTATTATGCCATTTGACATTTCAAATCAGTAATCATGTTCCTGTAATGTTTAAAACAACTACATTAAGCTTGTGATAGAAACTGTATTTTATTGCTTTTTGGAATATAATTCATATACATATAATTACTTGAATATTGTTTGAGATCACTAACATGTCAGGGCAGTTTCCACTGATTTAGATGGTCCAATAGAATCTCATTCAGGAGGCTTGAAACATTAATGATTTAGTCTTGTGAATTTTAACAGTTCTCTGTCATCGTTTAACAAAACCAACAACTGGCACAACTTCTTAAGCTGTGGTTTCAGTCTCTGCTAGCTCATATTGCATGTTTATTTTGGACAGTCTTTTGTTAAGCATGGTGCTTGTACTGGTTTAAATAAAATGTTAACTTGAAAGCACTTCTAGCTTTTCATTTTTTACTCGCCTTTTGCCTTCTTTGGAGATGCTGATACCTGCCTGGCTCAGTTTGTGTTAACCACGCATTGATACAGCAGTTTACTTTAGCAGAAAAACTGAGAGGCAAAAAAACCAAGAATCACTTGGCACCTTGGTGGAGGGAGAAAATATTGAGATTATAAAAATTTCAAAAGCTCAATCTGATGTTAAAATGATTCTTTTAAAGAAAATGTCAGTGAACGATAGTAAGAGCAGAGGGAGTTATTTCAAATGATGAACCTTGCTTTCAGAGGGAGAATTAGAAGTTAGGAAAGCTGTATACTTCCTAAGAAATCAAACTGAAGTTTCTTTTATTGAATGTAGTTTATCACTGTTTATTAAATATCCATTGAAGACCCAGCCTGCCTCTGTTACCAGCTGCACTACATGGTATGTGTTTAATAGGTATCTGTTGAATGAATACAAATCACTAATACACAGTTTTTAGAGTTACCACATACTTCTTGTGATTGAATATATTGTAATAGTCACAATTTGTTGTGGTTGTGAAATGAGTAGTTTATGCCTTACTGTGTTTAAGAATTTCACAAGAGAATTGGCCAGAGCATGGAAACATTTATATCTTCCTTATTTCTCCAATTTGGCCATTTAACTACTCCAATAGCCAGTGCCTAAATTTTTTCACCTTCACTAAAAAATGTCTGTATTATCTTTTTGTCCTTTTCACTTTTCAGCAGCAAAAAGCATTTGTAAGCACTTAACCTCACAGCATGGGCCCTCTCTCATTTGCATGAGGGTACCCCTTGAGTGGGTATTGCACACTTGTACAATATATTTTTAGCTATGTTGGGGAGCCAATTAGATTAAAGATCTTATTGCTGAGCATTAGGGAGTTTTTACACTGACAATCTTCTTATCCTCTACTTGAGATCTGCCCCTCCTGCTGAGGTTGTCCTCTTTTAATTATAGGAAAGAAAAAGCTGAATGCCTAGGTTGCATCCAAAAGCCGCCCTGCAAAGCAGACAAAGCAGGGGGAGGATGTGCGCGCGCGTGTGTGTGTGTGTGTGTGTGTGTGTGTGTGTGTGTGACTTCTAAATTCACTGTTATCTACACAGTTAAATACAAATTCTCTTACTGTGGAATTTAAGGCTCTCCATGTTTTGGCCCATTTCTTACCTGTACTGGACAGCTGTCTCAGCCCATACCATGCGTCTATAACAGAATACCTGAGATTGGGTGATTCGTAAAGGACAGAAATTTATTTCTCACAGTTACGAAGACTGGAAAGCCCAAGATCAAGGTGGTGGCATCTGGCGAGGGCCTGCCTTCCTGCATTCTCATATGGCAGAAGGCATAAAGGAGAGAACCCACTTCTTACAAGCCCTTTTTTTTTTTTTTAGCAACACTAGTCCATTCATGGGGGCTCCACCCATGTGGCCCCACCTCCCAACACTGTCGCATTGTGGATAAGTTTCCAATGTGAATTTTGGAGGATACATTCAGACCATAACAACAGCCAAGCCTAAATATACCCACAGCCCTTCTCCAGGTGGAAATGCCCCAGCCATTGTCCCTGGCTGTACCTTCCTGTTCCTAGCCTCCACCCCACCCTAAGTACGCACAAGACTCTATCGCTTCCAGCCCCAGCTGGTTGAACCCAAGGGCAGCCAACCTCTATGATATTGCCAGCCTAGTACCAAACAATGAACTGGGCCAGTCATTCTCTTGAATGAGGTAGGTAGCAGTGGAGCTGACCTTGAAAGAATGCCATTAGGTGGAGAAAAGGGAAATAAGATGCCAGCTGGGGTAGTGTAGAATAAAGCAGGCATGCAGAGAGTAGCTAAATCATGTCAAAGATGGAGCCCCAAACTTGACCCCACCCCTACCTTTTAGGTTTCTAGATCCTGCTTTGATTCAGGGCCACTCTGTTCCCATTTTCTGAGGCCTATTTGTTCAGCTTCTTCTGGGTTCCGTTGCATGTCTGTCCTTCCGAGAAACTCTCCATTACTTGTTAACATGGGCACAGCTGTTTACTTGTGTACAAAAGTGCCTACTACAGTGCTACCTCTCGTTTCATCTGCCACTGCTCCCTACATTTACACTAACTCCAGTCTAACCGGATGTGATGGTTAATTTTAAGTGTCAGCTGGACTTGATTAAGGAACACCTAGAAGCCTTGTAAAGCATTGTTTTGGGATGTGTCTGTGAAGGTGTTTCCAGAGGAGATTAGCACGTGAGGCTGAGTGGACCAGGTGGGGAAGATCCACCCTCAGTGTGGGTGGGCACCACCCAATCTGCTGGAGGTCCAG